CCCATACTTTAGGTTGTAGTTGAGTTTTAGTTTATTGTTTACAGCCAGTTAGAAATATCAACGGCTACATTTCACCACGTTAGATTCATAATCAATAGATTATGGAAATAGATAGCGAACTGCCTTCTCTGGCAATTTGTTTCCTTTTATTGAAATGTGTGCTTCTGTTTGTGAGGTTTTGTTAAGCTTTCTTTTAATTATCTATTTCCATCTCTTTACCGTTTGTTTGGGTTTTAAAAATCTTTTTCTTACTTTCAGGTAGTACAATATGCCACTATTATCTTGCTGGTGTGCCCTACTTTAACTCAAAATACATGGATGACAGTCATAAAAACTATACTTGAATATACAACAGCGTCGACAGCAGAACTATCTGAACTGGATCGGCAACAGTAATAACAATTAATCTTCAAGAACGACATCACAAAAGACAACATGGTTCGTTTAAGGTTCTTTGTCGTTATCATCTCATTAATTAGGAAACGGCGAGGTGAAGCAGCAGCAGCAGCGTTATAAAAATAAAAATTACAACGACAAAATAACTGCAGCAGTAGCAACAACAACGACAACAACAACAACGACGGCAACAACAACAACAACAACAACAACGACGGCAACAACAACAACAACAACAACAACAACAACGGCGGCAAAAACAACAATAACAACAACAACGACGGCAACAACAACAACAACAACGACGGCAACAACAACGACAACAACAACAACGACAACAACAACAACGACAACAACAACAACGACGGCAACAACAACAATAACAATAACAACAACAACCAAAAAACACACAAACAAAACAACAGAAAGCAGCAAAAACATCATTACATAAACTGCAGAACAATGTGCCATAAACAGTGATGCCTTATTTTAGTTTTAGTGAGAGGTTTAAGGCACTTTCAACACAAATATGATATGTTGTACAAGTGCAAAAGATTAGAGGTGTAACTTGAGAGGAACATACAAAGAGAATAAAAGGAAGAGAGATGAGGAGGACAGATGTCTGACAGAAAAGAAGGAGCAAACCACACCGGAGCTCCAACAAAGAGTGATGTAAATAGCAGTAAACACAGTAATCGGACAACAGAGAAGATAGCCTACCTAGCCTACAGCTTATCGAACTGACCTCAGATGTTTAGTATTTCCTCTGTAACCGGAGAAATAAATAATACCGTCAACCACAATAAGAAAAAGTCACTCGCTCCGCAGTCTACCGAATGTTTCAAGTCTCGAGCTCGGTCAAGATTACTCCGAGCGTTTGTCACACATTCTGCTTAGGTAGTCCTGAAGACTACTATTATGTACTACAACACAAAACGCGGCCTGCCTGCCTGCCTGTCTGTCTGCCCTCAGCTTCGCAAACCCGCGTAGTACGTCATGAATGGACCATAATTTCTGTGGGCCTCAGAAAAAGGAGCAGACTGAAGACGTTTTCAAGGGTCTCTGCATAATGTACACAACAACGTCGTCCCCGCGGGCCGTTATGAGGACAAGACCAGCCGAGGCCCCAACTTTACGTCTGCGCGAAGGTGCACGCACGCACCTGATTGGGTCGCTGAACAAGATGGGACCAAGGACTTTAGAACGTTGGATGGGACCTTTTACATATCTATTTCTTTGGCTCCTGGCTCTGAACCAAGTGGGGAAACTGACGTAGGGGCTTCGTATGATAATTTGTTGTTTTGCGCGTCAAGTGATTCTTTGTTGGGGAGAAAACCCGTACTAATGTTGAAGATGGTTCTTGTTCCTGTGAATGGTGATTTTATTATTTGTTTGTTTGTTTGTTTGTTGTTGTTGTTGTTGTTGTTGTTGTTTCCGTTTGTCTGGTTTCTTTTCATATTAATTTGTTTGTGGGATATTTTGTGCCCTAGTTTGCTTGTATTTTGCGTTTTGTTTTGTTCGTTTGTTTGTCTGTTTCCAAGGCAACTTAATCTCGATCATGCCCCTTTGCTCTCTTTGCCTATTTCTGTCATCCCCCTCCCCCCTTTTTGCTCCCATCCAAATATGGAC